ATGAGGGACAGCATCTGCACCTATACTTATTAAGCGCGTCACACTGTAGGACTTGTAATAGACTCTAGCTAATAGAACTTATTTGATTTAGATATAATGTTAGTGATTTAAGCAAACTACCTTGATTTTCTGCTTATTCGAAGTTTAATTACTTATTTTGATTACAATTGCATTAAAATTTGTGCATATTTTTTTGCGAAATCCAAATATGAAATACACTTACACTTAAAAGAATTGGACTTGAGTCGTGTTTGCATCAATCCTTTTTTGTGCTCTCGTTTGATTAGGCATTTCTTGCTGGGCTTTTGGCTCGAGGTTCGATTCGATAAGATTTATCTTGCTATGCCGTCTGTTACCTTGATTTTATTACTTGCTCAATGTTATAATTTTTCCTGTTTAAGAAACACTAAAGTGCCCACATCATTTCTCTGATTTATTTGATTTTATTGCAAAATTACCGCTACTCATCTCCTTTCGTGCTCTTATCATATGATTTACAGGCCTTTTGCTTCGTTGGTTGAATTTAGGCGCTTTAATTTGTCTCTGTTTATGCAGTGTAAAAATGGTTGATATTGATTATAAACGGGAATTAGAAGCCAACCGTGAACGCGTTGAAGACATCTTCGACTTCGAAGGCTGTAAAGTCGGTCGTGGTACTTATGGCAGCGTTTTTAAAGCTAAACGCAAAGACGCTAAAGATGATCGTGAGTACGCTCTGAAGCAAATTGAAGGGACGGGTTTATCTATGTCGTCTTGCCGAGAAATTGGGGTAAGTCTTTTTATCTCCTTTGCATTGTCGTTCATCTTAGCTTCTTCGAGAGCTGAAACATCCTAATGTTATGACTTTGCATCGAGTATTTCTCAATCACACTACTCGCAAAATCTGGCTTCTGTTTGACTATGCTGAGTACGACTTGTGGCATATTATTAAGTTTCATCGTACTGCAAAGGTTAACAAGACCTCATTCAACGTGTATCCGAACATGGTCAAGAGCTTGATGTATCAAATTCTCAACGGAATCGATTACATTCATTCAAACTGGGTCCTTCATCGAGATTTAGTGAGTATTGTCATCTTCATCAGTCTTAGTTCTCTAGAAACCGGCGAATATAGTAGTGATGGGTGAAGGTAGCGAACGTGGTTGCGTCAAGATCGGTGACCTTGGCTTCTCTCGTCTCTTTTATCAGCCCCTCAAACCCCTTGCCGATCTAGACCCGGTTGTGGTAACCTTTTGGTACCGGGCACCCGAGCTACTGTTGGGTGCTAGGCATTATACGAAAGCTATAGATATTTGGGCAATTGGTTGTATCTTTGCCGAGTTGCTTACCTATGAGCCGATATTCCATTGCCGGCAGGAGGATATTAAAACCAGTACGCCGTATCACAAGGAGCAGTTAGAACGAATATTTCGGGTGATGGGCTATCCAACAGGTTCGTAGGTCGTCTTCATAGTGTTAACTTTTTTTGTGGTTTTTAAGGTGTTTCTTTATAGATGAGGTCTGGCCGGATATGCGAAAAATGCCGGATTATCCTCAGCTTATGCGAGACTCAATAACTCGAAAGGCCTATGGGAAATACTACTTGGAGGGGTATCTTATGGAAAAGAAGGTCAACATGGGACGTTATGAGATTTCTTTGGTGAATAGCTGTCCTTTTTCCTTATTGCGTTCGTTGTGAGCCGTTCTGATTTTTCTAAATATTTTGGACAGCTGCAGTCATTGCTGACTATAGACCCTCTTCGAAGACCTTCAGCTGAAGATGCTTTGAAGCACGATTACTTCAAAATTGGGGAAAAACCGAACGACGAGTGAGTTTTGGTATTTTATCAGGGCAATTAAATCATAACCTCGAGTATACTTGTCGTCTTGGGTCTCCTCCTTGTTAATGGGGCGCTGAATCGTCATAGACTATTAGTAACTTAGGTAAGAACTGAAACGTCCAGGTACACTCGGAAGTCCATAGTTTTAAGTGCGCTCTGTGATTGAATCCTACGATTCACGATATTTTTCCTGAATGTTTCTAGTGATTTCTTGGTACCTCCTCTGATCTGAAATAAGCTAAAGTGTGCCAAGTAATTTGGTTTAATTGTGTAGCCACAGGCACTTTTTTGCCATTTTTCAGAAGACTTTCGAATGTATAGATTCCATTTTAAGGCATTTAATTTGAGTTTGGGATAGTTGAGCTTAGCTCAACATCGTAAGTCTCCGCAAGTTTCTTACAATGACCTTGTTTATCCCGATTTAGTACTCTGATAAAGGTAGCTGGAATCCCGTGCTAAGCTGT